ACTGCCACGACCACGACCACGATGACGACCATAACCACGACCACGACCACCACGACTACCAGTACCACCGCCACTGCAAAGACTGCTCCTGCTACTACTGCTCTGCTGCTGCTGCTGCTGCCGCGATGACTGCTGCTTTCAGCAGTTCTTCATGCCCAACTTGTGAAGCATGACCCACCTCCAGTTTCTTCCTTTCTTGTGCTCTGTTGCCAGAGTAGACAATGGTTGAGGTCGAGCACTGGTCAGACCTCAACCAGACCAAGTTCTTGCCTGAGTACCTTCAAGGGCAGATCCGCTTCGCAAATAAGGGCACCCCGAAGGACCCGCACTTTTTCTGGAATTTCGGGCCATAAGCGAAACTGTCACCCGAAACACGCGAAGACGCTGCAATTTGCCATGCTGTCGACGGGTTGTGGGTTGCAGAGAGTAGAAGTAGAAGGCCGAGCCGGTAGCATGAGTCGTGAGGACATCGGTGCGGTGCCAGGCTACGATCGAACTTCTTACAATCGGCAGCCAGGCATCTTGCCAAATGCGTTGCACCTGAGTTTTCACTCGACAGCAACTTAGAAGCTAATCCATTAGTTTCGGTGGTTCGGGTTTGGCTACAGTATGGTTCGACGGGCACGGGCTGAAGTTGCTTAGTTGAACTTCGGTTGAGAGCCAGAGAGCCAGAAGCCTGGGGCAGAAACGGATATTCTTCGACTTTCATCCAAGTCTTTTCTAATCAGATCCAACTGCCGAGGGAATTTGAGCAACCACAACAATTGGCAAGTCGATGGCGTCTTTGCGGGCTGGACGGCCAGCAACGTGGTAGCAACCTCGGCGCAGATTGCGGACCCCGGGTTTGCCTCAAGCGTTTTCAGAAGAGAAACACAATTTTAGATTGCCTCAGCGCGGTGGGCCAAATTTCCAAACGAAAAAGCCGTCATTGCTGACGGCATGAAATCTTGGGAGGACCTGGCATGGGAGATTTGGGGGCCTCCAAGCAGCGTGGCTCCCAAGGAGGGGCAGGGACTTTTCCATATTTTCCATTAGTGTGGGTTTCACGGTGCTCAAGTTTTTCTTCAAAGCTGCGAGATGCTGCGAGATGTACCTTGCTCACTGATCGGCCAGGAGCTGACAGATCAAATGATCCCTCAACGCATGCACATCTACGGACTCGGCGCCTTCAACGTTTCTGGACAGCAGTGGAGCATCTTGTTGTCCCGGACCCCTTTGCCTCACCATCGAGGGCTCCCTCCCTCTCTCCCCCTCCCGCAGCTGTCTGTGTCCGTGTCATGTGCCGTGACATTCCAGGTTGGGCTCTTTTCAGCCGGGCAGTCCGGCAAGCTAGGCCTGCCGAGTGTGTCATGGAGCAGTTTGTGCTTTGGGCCTGCCGAGTGTATTTCATCGAAACTCACCGAGTTGTTTCGATGCTTGTGGGTGCTTCACCATCACGGGCTGATTCCTTGCTTCGTATTTCAGCACTGGGCATGCGCGACTTGAGCTTCAAAGCATCCGCACCCTATGCCCGCGCCCTGCCGACTCCCACATGTTTGGAATTGAAAGCCATTCCTGGCCGTCGGAAAAGGCCTATGATGACAGCTTTTCCAGATCTAAGGCCACACACAGCAAAGAAGTGCATCAAAGATCAGGTCGTAAATACATGCCTCCATAGCCAGTCCCACAGCCAACGTTGGAGATCACGCCTATTCCGATAGGGGTGAGTCAGTCGGAAGAAGCCAGGAGTTGGCTATGGCCATTTGGGTGCCACTTACGGACGCAGAGCAGAGTTAGTCAGCTAATGAAGCGGAAGTGAATCAGTGAACGAAGGAGCAGCACCGCCAGACTCATGACATGTTGAAAGTTACCGAGGATATCAAAGCATCGTGGGCTTCTTCCCCGAGCTCAATATCTCCATAGCCCTAGCCACCAACATCGAGACCGACAAGCAGGCCAGTGCGAGCAACATCGGGGCTGCGTGTCCTTGCCGAAGATGATTCCAGGTTCAGACCCCTGACGCGCTGTGCCTCGGACGATGCAATTTTATAGCATCGATTCAGCTTCACGAACAACGGCTCAGGTGCTTCTCGTATAATGCCGTGGCAGGCCGGGCCCACATGCGGTCTCGTCCGCTTTTGCCAGAGTGTTCTTCAACCCTGGCATAGGTGCTGACCACACACTTAAGAAGCAGCACGGGGTTGAGATTATGCCGAGTAGCTGTTGGCAGCCGTACCAGACCCAGGCCTGATCCTGAACAAGACCTTCCACTGCACCTTCAAGACGATGGGCTACTACGGCGGTCAGTGTAAGTGCTCCGAAGAGGTCGAGGTCTTCGTGTGAGGCTCTGCGACTGCCTGCTCACGTGCACTTCATGCGGTTGTCGTCGACAAGGCCTGCATGTATGCCGCGCGCTCTTTCGCACATATCTCTTGGCAGCTGACTGTTTCACTGCTTTTGGGTGGGCCCTTGCGTGTGGCCCTCACTTGTGCTCCTTAGGCAAGCGAGACGCACAGAAGCTTCCCAGGAGTTGTGCTCCCGGGTGTATTTTGCCCCAAGCGCAGCATTTGTTCGCAAGACTTTCGGAGGGCAGCATCGGTGAGCCAGCAAGGGCAACTAGTTTAGCATCATAGAGCACAGACTTGGAAGCGGTTTCAAGAACTTACGACATTTATCAGGGCGGCAGATGGCCCATGGCTGGAGCTGCTAGGGCTTCAGACGAGGGTCCCACGACCTTTGGCCGCTTGCAACGCGCAGAGCCCCCAAAACGTGAAAGATTGAATGTGGTGTCTGACTCGAGACCAACATGCCCTAGACCCTAGGCAAAGTCGCAATTAGAAGAATGCATTCAAGTTGCCAAGAACCACGCCGAATAACAACCACGGGTTCCAGTACCAGTACAACTACAGCTTGCGAGTATTCGTAAACTACAAGTACTAGTGCGAGTACAACTGCTGCTGCTACTATTACAGCTGCAGTAGCAGCTGCTGCTACTGCTACTGCTGCTGCTACTGCTGCCGCTACTGCTGCCGCTACTGCTGCCGCTACTGCTGCTACTGCTGCTGCTGCTGCTGCCACCACCACCACCGCCGCCACCGCCACCGCCACCGCCACCCCCACCACCACCACCACCACCACCACCACCACCACCACCACCACCACCGACTTCCGCTGTGGGTACTGCAAATGCTGCTGCGTGATGGTTGGTGTAGTGAACAATGCGACCAAATCGGCGGGGCTTCTGGTCCACTGCTGCAAGTCCTTATCCTCCTGCGACACCAGGTTGGATGCCTTATCATGGATGGAGCTGGTGGCAAAGCTTTCTGTGCCGGAGGGGATGTACAGATGATCCGGGAGGAGACGTGTGGGGCCCCGAGAGATCCATCGTCTCAGCTCACAGGTCAGAACTGACAATCAAATATTTGGGAGCTGTGTTTCCAGCCCTGATGACGGCCGTCAACCAGGAGGGTCTGGCTGGTGGCTCGCTCCCTGCTGACTTCTTCTTCGAGGAGCAGCTCGATGGAAAAAGTTCATTGCTTGCATGGCTGTACCTGTTGTGCATCAGCCTTCCTGCGGCAGCTTGAAGGTACGGGATCGTTTTCAGACTGGCGACTCTTTTTGAACGGACAGGCAGGGGTAACGGTTCGCGGCCAGCATCCAACTTTAGAACTTGTCGTTGCAGGCTGTGTCCAGGTGAGCCTTTTCGATGGCATCACGATGGGTGGTGGTGTAGGGCTATCCACACATGGCCCTTTTCGCATCGTCACGGAGAAGACGCGATTCGCCGGAGCCTTGTTTCTGTCTGCAAGGTTGCATGTTCACCACATGCTTGGACTGCTTTCGTGCTGCAGACCGTTTTTGAAAAATGCAGAAGAGGGGTTTTTGGAAATCTAAGGCCATGCCCGAGATGGCCATCGGCCTTTTCCCAGATGCTACTTGGCGGTTGAATGCAAAACAGAG